GGAGAGATACTATTTATAGACGGGTCATCACGAATCGTGGAAGAAACAGCTGTCCGGACTGCTGAGCGCGGATGGACTCATGCCAGTCGCATTAAAGGCCCAGTGACGAAACCCCACTGGAAAGTAATCAGTGCACCAGGTGATACCAAGATAATATTAAGAAGATAAAGTTATGATAGAGACTTGGTTTGATTATTTTAAAGCTTTACCCTTTGGAGTTAAGTGTGTGATTTGTTTTGCAATTGCTGTTATAATGTCTTTAATAGTGTATTACCTGTGGAAACATACCAAGTGCGGTCGTAAGAATTGTTAAATACCCATGCAACCTGATATAGACTATAGAGACCCCACGGGAATAAGGAACAATTATATACAAAACCTACGATTAAGGTGTAGCAACCCACAGTGTGATTGTTATCCATTTGTATGTTTTAAATGCAAGGTATGCCAGGACAAATGGTGGGTGCACTGTTATGAGGGGTACCCTCCGAACGGAGTCTGTGAACAATGCTATAAATTTGAAAGATGGTTAACCGATTGGAAATTAAAACAATTTGAACAAAGACGAGAAATTGTAAAAGGATTCCCCCAATGGTGGGATATTTTTGCTAAGGGAATACACCCCCAATATTATTGTTACCACTCAAATCAACCAGTCCCTTTTGTGACTGAAATCGTGGCTGTCCAGTGCCGGAGGGAAGTACTAACCATGTCTTGCTTGGCCCCATTAATTAAGGCTGTAAAGTGGGAAGCCTATGTAAGCAGGCAAAAAGCCCGAAACAGCTATTCTCCTGAAGAATTCCCTTGCTGCCGAGAAGATGGTACACCCCGTGGCTCGAAGCAACCGAGTCGACGGGCGAGGCAGAAGAGAAACAAACCGTGGAGAAAAGAGCCAGAAAAATGGGATGCAGAAGCAGCCATGGCCGAACTTCCCCAGGACTGGTAAGAATATATTTAAATTGGCAAAATTGACAAACACCCTTTTTCCTGGTATACCATTAGTCTTGATATTGATAATAACCCAGGCAAAAGGGGAAAACCCACATGAACCATTTAAGTGGGAACTAGTATCTTGGGAAGGAACGAGAACAATAGCCACTTTTAGCGACCCAGGGCCACCTGAATTCATAGTGGAACTTTATGTGAGACAATAGCCTCAGGCTGGTCAGTAAATGCGTACAGGTGATTATTGTTCCTCGTCTGATCTATCACACCTCTGAGGAGGTGTTACACCATTTTGAAGGAGACCTGAATAGACAAAAACGAGAGCCAATTACAGTGGTAACCTTAGCTACACTGCTGATAGCGGGCGGAGTTGGAGCAGGCACAGGCATAGCCTCCCTAGTAAAAGGTCAGGAATTACAAAGTTTGCAGATGGCTGTAGATGAGGATTTAGCAAAAATAGAACAATCGTGAGGCGGGCAGGTCATGGTATGAGAACTGGTTTAATGTTTCACCCTGGCTAACCACTTTGTTATCTACTTTAGCAGGACCGCTTATTATGCTAATCTTAGGACTTGTATTTGGACCTTGTATACTGCGTTATATTTTACATTTTATTAAGGAAAGGCTTGACATAGCCAAATTGCTTATTCTAACTACAAAATTCGAAACAAAGTATAAGAAGGTATCTATCAATGAAGAGGAAGAATACTGTGAATGTACTATACCACGAAAATGCTATGAATGTAACTGCGAGGTATTACCTTGTGAATGTTATGATAAGTGTTGGGAGTGTGGGAACAAATTAGCTTACAGTACTGAGAATGAAAATGAAAGTAACATCTAATAAACAATAATAGGATAAAAAGAAAAAGGGGGGATTGTGAAAAACTAGGGACTATGGTATTGTTTATTAAGATTTATGCTAAGCCTGATGTAAAGATTAGACAACAAAAGAAAAGATAACCGTGGTCGCTTGTGCAGATTAAACCAGACACCGCTTGCGCAAGTTTTGAGGAAACATCTGCAAGTTTTGAGGAAATATCTGCAAGATGTTCTAAAAAAAAAACTGGCAGACATATGGGTGGGGGCAACTATTGCTTTGCTTAAGTGCTTTACTTGCATAAGTTGACACCAAAATTATTTACAAACCGAGACGCTTACTAAGGGCTTTTGCAAAACAATTCTAAAAATTATTGCACAGCAAGTTGAAGACCATATATGGAAAAGGATATCTAAAGGTAACCGAGGAGGACTTCAAGCCTTCAGCCTCAAGCAACTGGGGCATGCGCAGAGTACTCCGTTGAAGATACGAATGCGGAACTGGAGGACTGATAAAAAGGGACTGTTAGAACTGTTCAGCACGGCAGTTGTCGGAGCGCAGACTCCCCTGTCGTCCAGCGCTGTCTTTGCTCATATTCTACTTGCTATAATTAATAAAATTCAATTGGATTATGATCCGTTGTGGTCCTAATTTATAACACAATGAATATGGGTTTAGAGACATTCTAGATCTTGCAGAAGATTCCCAAATGGGACATGACGCACAAGTGACTCCATCTCTGGAACTGCTGCTGTCCCTTTGTGGACACTTGAGAGCCCAGTTTTCCAGCTCCAGTGAGGTTATCCGCATGTAGTACCGGGATGTCCAACAGCTGAGCTGGTGCCTCTGGACTTCCACTGTATTCAAGGGTGAAAAACAGGCATTTTGAGGCAGGGAGGAATTGTCCCATTGTGACCTAACAGGCCTGTATTCCCCTGAGCAGCCTCAGCTGGGGTTCCATCCCCACTCTTTTGCCCCCCAGTCTCTATTTGAGCTCATTCCCTGGAGGCTGAGCTTTTTTAGAGGAGTTGTGGTTTTGATTTTTGTGGATGGTGTATACACGTATGGAATCCTTTGATGGTGACCTAGGCTTGTTTATGGACTTGCATAGCAATTGCTGGAGTTGATTCTGACCAGGGGAATTGATGTGGCCTGAGGTGTCTTGTCTTATCTTGCCGTGGTTTAAACCCAGTCAGGCAACTTGTTCACTCACTCCCAGTGAGTGGTGCCGAGCTGACAACAATCGAGGCCCCCCCCTTCCCCCCCCCCCCACCAGGGCTCTCCCCTTCCCTGCTCCCAAAGGAACAGGGAGGAGGATCGAAAGAGTGCAACTCCTACGGGTTGAGACAAGAACAGTCCAGCAACCAATGTACAACACAAATCACCACCGCTACTATCAACTACAACAATGATAAGGGAAAATAACAAGGGAAGAGAATACGATACCACCGGCCAAGAAACGAGTCCCACCTGGAAGCCCGTGTCCTTCCGGGTAACTCCCAGTTACCCCCCACCCCGGGCATGATGTGCTGTGGTATGGAATACCTCCCTGGCTAGCCCGGGTCAGGCGCCCCATCTCTGCTTCCTCCTGGCTTCCCCTCCTCCCTGGCAGAGCATGAGCCTCACAAAGTCCTTGGTCAGGGTAAACATCACTTAGCAACAACTGAAAACATCGGTTTCACCAACACTGTTCCCAGGCTGGAAGTCAAAACACAGCACTGCATCAGCTACCACAAAGGAAAAAACATGACTGCTACTGCTGAACCCAGGACATATCTCCATCTTGGGCTTCCCTCCTTATATTCAAGTATTATTCTCTGGTCCTTACTGCGTTCTCCTTTAACATAGGTAATATTTGACTTATGCTCTTCAGTAGTTTGATAACACTTTGCTTTGGAAGTAGCTTTGTCGAAATCTGCTGGGTTTGTGACAGGACATCAGAGCTTCACTTGATGCCAAGGTGTATTATTTCCCTACGGTATTCCTTAGGCCTCCAGACTTTGTTTTGAACCACTTCTAAGTCTTGCTTTGTTTCTACAGCTGACTTGTGCCAGAAGACCACAGACAGTCTGATTTATCTTATTGTCTGTAGAGTTTTTTCCCTGCCTCTTGGTCTCTTTAGAATTACACTGGACATTCAGCTTTGAGCTTCTTACTAGCTGTGTCAAAATGCTCTTCCACAGCTAAAGATCATGAAAGAGACTGTTCATCACCCACATACCTCCTAAACATAGGTTAATGTGCAGTCACAACCAGTAAAGATACATTCTCCGACATCAGTGCGTTTTGGCTTCTTTCAGACCCAGACAGCTCTAAGTTACCATCGATTCTGTGTTCAGGATTGCCTTTCCTCTATGGAAATGTGCCACAGGCTTCATTGGTAAGTGAAATACACCATTTGATTTTCCTGGTATGCATTAGAACAAACTGAGCATAGACATGGGATGTGGGTGCAGATCTCTACCTGGAATTCCATTTATCTCACCATTTAAGTAAAGAGCACTGCAAATGAATGTAAAACTCCACTTAAATTGAATGGGAGGATCCATTGATTTGAATTATATTGTCTAAAATTTCTTCTTTGAAGTGAAATTTATTGTGAAGCTGCAGCCTGGGGAGGAATTCATATTCAAAGGCGCATCTTGAGACCTGGACTCCCACCAGCTTCTTCTCTTTGAAAGGCACAAACAAATGCAATGAATCTTTTGGAACCTTTTCTCTGACTCTTTTTCAGCAAGCAAATGTAAAACTACACTGCCTCTTCCCTCCCACCCCAGCAGCAGGTAAAGAACTCGCAGGTAAGAGGGAGGAATTTTATTGGAGCTGAAGGACAAGGTCAAGAATCATGCAAGAAAAAGACATCTTTTTCAGTGACAAAAGTTGTAACTCAGTAAAGCTGATTGGTGTTTCCTGTGAGGGAAAGAGGCCTGGGATAATTGAAGGTAATTTCTACCTCCAGGATGGTGCCTGCAAAGTGAATTGAAGTTTGAGGTTCCCCTCCTAATGATTTCCTTCCAAGGAAGATGTGATGGCTGGGTCTCTTTCTCATTCAATACTGTCACTGGCTTCTGAGCAGGAATTGTGGAAGAACGTAAATAAAGTCATGAGGGTTAGTGGAAAATATCATTGTTTTAGTGCATCGCAGTCTTCTTCAGTTAGGATGAGCTGTTCATGTCCTAGATGACAGAACTCTTCTATGTTGCCAGCCATTTAAGAACCTTCTCCTGCACCTCACCAGAGCCAGCTTCACCTCCTTGTTCCTCAGGCTGTAGATGAATGGGTTGAGCATGGGGGTGACTACGGCGTAGAAGATGGAGGCCACCTTATCCAGGCTTCTGTGGCTAGAAGAAGGTTGTAGGTACATGAAGAATGCTGACCCAAAGTATATGGAAACAGCCGTCAAATGGGAGGCACAGGTGTGGAAGACTCTGACCCTGCTCTGTGCTGAGCACATCCTCAGCACGGTGTGGATGATAGAGATGTAGGAGAGCAAAATGACCACACTTGTGCCCACCACATTGATGGTGACGAAGGCAAAGATGACCCTCTCACTGTTGTGCATGTCGGAGCACACGAGCTTTAGCACAGGGACGACGTCGCAGAAGAAGTGGTCAATGCGGTTGGGACCACAGAGGGAACCTCCAAACACGCACCATGTGAAGATGATGGCACTGGGGAAGGCAAATAGGTAGGATGATGCTACCAGCTGCCAGCAGACACATCTGGAGATGATGGTCACATAAAGCAGGGGCTGGCAGATAGCAACGTGACGGTCGTAGGCCATCATGGCCAGGAGGTGGCACTCACTAATAGCAAAGAAAGAGAACATGAAGAACTGCATCATGCAGCCAAGAAAAGAAATGGTTTTGTCCTCTGATAACAGGTCTGCCAGCATCCTGGGGGAGATGACTGTGGAATAGCAGATGTCAATGAAGGCAAAATGGGTGAGGAAGAAGTACATGGGGGTGTGGAGGCTGGGAGACACCCGAACCAAGATGATAATGCCAAAGTTCCCCACCAAAGTGACAATGTAAATCAACAGAAACAACACGAACAGAGGGGTCTGTGCATATGGGCTGTCTGTAATTCCCAACAGGATGAATTCAGTCTGGGTCTGATTTCCTTCCATGACCTGGTGCTACCTGCTGAGGCAAAAGGAAGAGAAACATAAGAGTTTTTAGAAGTGGAGATTCATTTTTGGACCATATTTGACTCCAATCAATCACGTTTTTAAGTGCCACATTTTGTTTGAATTCATATATTATTCTGTCTTTTTAACCAAAATCATATGGTTTTCTGGTCTTCACTTAGTGTATTTATAAAGGAACAGGAAGCACACTGAAGCAACAAATGACATTTTTGGTTTTCTATACTGGAACACTTAAAACAATGGATTTATTTAGGCACTTTTGGACCATATTGTAATTGAAACAATGACCAGTTTAACTGCTACATTACTATATATTCCACTATATTTTCTAACCCAAATTATATATATTTTATGTTATACAGTTGAGGTATCTTGAACTGGGACCGCATTCTAGGAACAAATAGTATTTTCAATGCTAGGACTCTTAAAACTATGGATTTATTCAAGCGCGTGTGTTTTCAGATTAAAGAAAAGAATCAGATCTTTCTTCACTTTCACTTTTCAGTTTTCAGAGTTAATTTGGTCAGAAGACACCTGAAAACCTCATAGTAGCGCATGTAAACCAGGGGGATAGAAAGTCCCAGTCCCAGTGAAATCCAGTTTACACGTGAATTAACTGCACGCATTTTCCCTTGCCTTTTAGTTATCATTCTAGTCACCAAATCACATTTATCAAACTATTTGACTTTATTCATAACAGATAAAATTCACATGATTTATACCTCTCTGAGCTTCAGCACAATGAAGCATCCTAAACCTATGAGCATTAAGTTGCTTGCATTAAAAAGGAGTGGATGTTACAATGTGCTGATTTGTTACTGACTATATTAGTCAGTGACTATATTCTGCTGACAATCTGCAGTGTTGCATTTCTTTATAACAAAATAAGATTCATCTTCATTTAACTCTTGAATAAATCAGTGCTTCTTGCTTTAGCAGCCTCTGTAAAAGAAACACAACCTGCATCAGACATTGCTCCCTCTTATTATAAAAAGAACTCACATTGATAAGGCTGTTTTCTGACACAGCTTTCCCAAAGAGGACCTGAGGACATGAAGAAGAAATACCACTGCTTCAATGAAGGTGAGGCTCTGCTTTGTGTTGATGTTACCTCCTGTGACTTCCGTCTGCCACCGAGTGATGGGAGCCATGGGTTAATCCCCAAAGCAGCAGAGAACATCTACGTGCCAGCATCAGCTCTGTTAAGCACCCGATGTGAAGAGAGGTGAACTCCTTCAGACTCCAAGAGCCCAGCTTGTGGTTCTGGGCTGTAAATACAGTTGCCTGTGCTCTCCTGGGAGGAAGCCTCCAGGGCTGCTCATGACTTACCTGAGGAAAACGAAGAGAAGAAAAAAGCAAAGGGTGTGAAATCACCTCTGAAAGGCATTGTGGTACTTGGGCATCTGAGAGACATGGAGTGGATGAGCCAAGCCAGAGCACAGCTACACAGCAGCAGTGCTGAGCAGCTCATAGGATGCTTCTGGCATACTTGTGGACTATGCAATGGTTTTGGTCTCACCTTGGCAACAGAATGAGGAGGGATTTAGAGACATTCCTGATCTTGCAGAGGGTCCCTAAATACAACACGAAGAACAAGTGACTCCTTCTCTGGAGCTGCTGCTGTCCCTCTGTGCACACTTGCGCCCCCAGTTTTCCAGCCCCAATAGGATTATCCACATGTAGTGCCTGAATGTCCAACACCTGAGCTGGTGCTTTAGGGCTTCCACTGTATTGAAGGGTGAGAAATGGGCATTTGAAGCAGTGATGAATTGTCCCAGGGTGAGCTAATAGGCCTTTATCCACCTGAGCAGCCTCAGCTGGCGCTTCATCCCTACCCTCCACCCATTTACCCCTCATCTCTATTTAAGCTCAGCCCAAGGTGGTTGCACTATGCTTGAGAAATTCTGGTTTCCAGTTTAGCATTAGTTGTGCACATCTATGGAATCTGTTGATGGTGATCTGAGGTTGCTTGTGGACTTCCCTCGCAATTGCTGGACCTAAACCTGACCAGGGGATTGACTTGACCTGTGTTGGCTTGGTTTTGGATGTGCTTCATAGTCTCCAACTCGCTTGATGCTCTGGAATCTTGGCTGAACTTGGCCTAGGTCTCTGTTCCTGCTCTGCTTTTCCTGCTCAGGTACCATGGGATGGTCCCTGCACACAGTGGTGTTCTCCTTCGGTTCAATTTAGATAGATTAAGGAGACAAACCCCTGTGGCACTCCCCATGTTCCTGCAGAGTAGAACCCATTACCCTCTGCACCCAACAGCCCAGACACTGTTCACTGCTCTGGCAGTCCCTCTCCATCCAGACCATATTCCTGCATGGGCACAATAGGAGATAGTCTATTCAGTGAGGGAATTAGAGTGATCAATTGAACTTTATACTGGAGTGTTACTCTCTAGTCATTAGTATCACCTCCATTTTCCAAATACAATTGTAGAATAATGTTTTTGAGTATGTGGGTAGCACTGTGGTGTGGTAATGGGTTTCCAGTCTTAGTAAAAGCCCTTTGCAAACATCTCCTTGCTTAGTGGTAATGGTTATACGGGACAAATATAAACATGTACAGAAGAAATGTCTAATATCTTATGTATTTACCCCCTCTCCTGACACAATCCTTTTTGGGGATGTATTTTATCCTATTTAAGAGATCAGCATAGACAATTTCAATAGGATATGCTCTATTTGTCTGTATTGTTGCCTTTCTAGTTCCCCTCAGCAATGACAAGGTGCAGGTTCTGTCTTTGAATGATTTCCTTGCAGAAAGGAACAAGAGGTAGGCACAATAATAGCTCAGCCTGAAACAGGCTGGGTCTTCAACAGGAAACCAGAAGTGGCATCTCAGGTACTGTTTTGGGGGATGGTGGTGGAACTAGTTTTAAACTCCTCTCAAATGTCTGTGTTTGAGACACATGGTTATGTTATAAATCCTTTCTAAAAGGAAGTTTTACTTCCTGACCTTAATCTGACATGAAATCAGTTGCTTGGAAGTATTTGCTGTTTGCTTAAAATGTAATTTGAATGATAGAAATTAAAGGGAAAAGCACATTTTTAACAAGTCACTAGTGAAGCTGGAAGAGAAGGAAAGATAAATTCATATGCCCGTCTGTCTCTTCTATGTATTTATTCTTATGAGATGAGAGCAGTTATTGAGATGCAGTTTAGCCCCCAAAGTAGCCACTAACCTTGTTATTAATCAGTTGTTTTTAATGAAAACCAACATATTGCTTTTATTTCTGAGCACTTAGACTAAGGAGCAACAATGCAGATGCTGAGCTACCTGGGGTAATGAAAAGAGTCTCTGGGACCTCTTCAACCTGAAAAGCAGCATGAAAGTTAATATTCCTTTACTTTGTGTATTATCACAACAGTCAACCTGAGCTGCTCTTCCCTTAATGTGGAGAAAACTGCAGGCAGATGGAAACATAGTGAAGACCACGGTGATGTCCAAGGGAAAACTTGTTTTGTTGGCTTCAGACTTCCTTTGAAATTGGTGTGTGAAGGTAGAACATATATTCAAAGCTTGGTCTAAGAGCTTGAGTGGTAGATGTAGTCAGTGACTCCCTGCATGGGCAGGTGGTTGTGGACCACCTAAGCATCCTGCCAAGGTGCCTGGCAGTGTTTCATTAGAGAATGTCTTCATTATCTACAGAGTACAGGATTAAACCCCACTAATAATTAAGCAAGGGATTAAGTCATCATAACCAAGCCCATGGAAACCACCCGGCTGCCTGGGAACTGGGAGCCTCTTGGACACTGATGGCCTGGGAAAACTGGACTACAGTGACAGAGTTTGTTTTCAAGGGGTTCACAGATTGCCTCGACTTCCAGGTTACCCTCTTTGTGCTTTTCCTGCTCATCTATGTCACCACCGTGATAGGAAACCTTGGCATCATTGCTGCAGTCTGGCTCGATTCCCAGCTTCAGAGCCCCATGTACCTCTTCCTCAGCCACTTGTCCTTCTTGGATCTGTGCTACTCCTCCGTGGTGACACTCAAAATGCTGCTGAACCTCTTGTCTGAAAGGAAGACTTTCTTTTGCTGGCTGCTTCCTACAGCTCTATATCTATGCTGCTTTTGCAATCACAGAGTGCTACCTCCTAGCTGGGATGGCATATGACCGCTATGTTGCCATCTGCAACCCTTTGCATTACCCCATCCTCATGTCCAAGAAGGTCTGTGTTTCCCTCTTAGCTGGGTCCTATGCAGTTGGGCTTTTTAATTCAGCCATCTTCACAGACTTTGCATTGAGGGTGTCCTTCTGTGGCCCCAATGTCATTGACCACTTCTTCTGCAATGGGCCACCACTCTCAAAGTTGGCTTGCTCTGATACTTCCCTCAACCAAGTGTTGCTGTTTGCTTTTGGGGGGCTTCAGGGAGGTCGCCACAATATCAGTCATCCTCATCTCCTATGGCCACATCCTCTTCACCATCATGAGGACAGGCTCTGTGCTGGGCAAAGCTTTTGGTACCTGTGCATCCCACCTAGTGGTTGTCACCATCTTCTATGGGACCCTTATCTTCATGTACCTACGGCCCAGCTCCAGCTACAACCTGGGCAGGGACAAAATAGTTTCTGTCTTTTACACCACGGTGACCCCAATGTTGAACCTTTTCATCTACAGCCTGAGGAACAAGGAGATAAAGAGTGCTCTGAAGAGAACAGTGGGGAGAATGATTATTTCCCTGCCAAAGTGGTAAATGGTTTGTCACTTAGACAGTGATGGGAGTGGGGTTGGTGTTTTTTGAGTCTTTTTGAGGTTGGAGAGAAGCTGTGATAATACTTCTATATATTATTATTCGTTTTGTAGACCACCTTTATGAATGTGGGATTAATTTGCTATACATTTGCCTCTTGATAGTGTATTTCATAATAAGGGAAACACATACTCACTGAAGAGCCACCAAAGGATGATTTGTGATGAAACATGCTAAAATGTCCAACTTGTTCCTGAATATTTGTCGGCAAGAAAGTGCC